CTCGGGCCAGTAAATACCGAGAATGCGACGCAAGCATCGGATAATACAATGTGTAGTCCTACTTCCTACTAATATTATAAATGCGAAAGTTTGTGAGGATGTATGTTTGCGTGTGTGTTTGTGGTTCTCTTTCACGCTAAAAATACTGATCGGATTTAGATGAAATTCGGAACATGAGTACATTATCGACTGCACGGTTGGTGCGGTGGCTGGGCAACCGGCTGCCGTGCAACGTGCCGCGAGTTCGATTCCCGCACGGAACAACACTTTTTGTGATCCACAAATGGTTGTTTCTGGTCTGGGTGTCATGTGTATGTGAACTTGTATTTTGTAAACGCACCCACGACACAGGAGATAATTTTATATATAAAAAGTTACTATAGGTACTAATGGCACTAAGACAATTTCTTTGTGACTCCTGTAATATTGTGATGGATAGGCTTATCCATAAATCATTGGGCCCCGGGCAAAAATGTGCGAGCTCCCTCTACGCACAGAGTACATTTGTATATAGGGTATGCCCCTACGCGTCGCAAGAACTTGCGAATTGATTCGCATCGCGCATTTAAATCTTGTCCTCCCAAAATCTTCTTTGTTTCTTTTTCCTATATCTCCTAAGCAATAACAGAAGTGTATACTTCTTTTTACGATCCATGTCACGACCTAGTTTTCAATTTAAAATAGGTACGTTTAGTACGGTTGACAGTCGTCGAAGGAATGGTCACTCTGGGAGACGCCGTGGCGCACGAAATTGCATCTCAGCAATTCGCATCGTAATTTTTTGCGTTGCGAATTCGCACCGCATCCAATCGTAGTTTTGTGTACGAAGCCTTATATGGGTGTAATTATGTTTTTTGAAGTTTCGAAAAAAGTATTGAATTCTACAAGTTGGATATCTCAACTTATTTTAGAAGATACAAAGTAGTTTTGTATGAACTATTAATTTATTGTATAACTTTAGGATAGGTATCATCAACTCTTGTAATACATTATTTAATTTTCTATAAACTTTATTTTAGATTACTGTAGATGAAATCTACGTATTTTTTTTTTTTTTTTTAAGGGGGGAAAATCATCGAATGACTGCCCCCGCCTGGGTGAGGCGGGAGGGAGTGTCAGACTCTTACTGACTAAAAACCACCCCGTTCCTTCTCCTGCACGTCGAGCCGGAGCCCCGGTTACCCGTTAGGTTCTCCGCGACTCCGAATCGGCATCGGCCCTATTGGGCCCCATCTGTGGTGGTCTGATGGCTCTTTGAGGCGCGCGCGGAACGCGACGCGCCGTACGCTCGGGTCTGTTTCTGGTCGGACGGGGAGCCACCCATGCTCGCCGTCCGCAGGCCCGCGCTTACGGTGGCCGGAGATCGTCCCGCGATCCCCGACGCCCGGTGTGTCCTTCGCGATGGCTGGGTTGCGAGGAGGCAGCGCTTCGCTGCCTCACGCGTCCCGCCTCCTCCTTAGCTAGCATGACTGCTAATCTACGTATACGATGAACATATTTGTAAAAATTTCATAATTTCACCAAGACAACATATACCTATTTGTGATCCACACAAATTACTTATTGTTTCGAAGGCGCGACATTTTGCGCATCAGCCAGTCGCCCAGCGCCCACCATGCAGTTGATTATGATGCAATAATAAAATTATAAACTTTATTACAACTTACATATAGAGTTTTAAGTACCTATTACATATCATAACATCGCGCCTTTTATCACCACTCTACATCTACCACCAATTTTGCCTCTGTACAATGTAACATTAAGTGCTGTAATGTGCACCTCTGCCCTACCCCTTCGGGGATAAAAGGCGTGATGTTATGTATATGTACAATGTAACACCCACTTTTCACTATTTATGTTAAGAGTCCCATGTAATAGGGTAAAAAAGAACCTATTTTACCTTAAAAATACAAGATTATAATATACAAAACATAATTGGCACAACGATCCACGTGTGCTGTCATATTCGGTACGAGATAATCACAATAATGTAACCTACTTCAACCACCTCCATACTAACTGACGCTAATTGTAATTTAAACACACAACTCGATTATTTGATCGAGTCAACTTATCGATTGGCTGACGCGAGACGTCACATCGAATCGATTCAAATCGATTGCAATCATCTTAATTGGTTAAAGTCGAGTGAGCTGTGAGATGAAGGAAAACTAGATACTTGTGGTATTTTGATTGGATATTTTTGTTATATGTCGTTTTTAGGGTTCAGTGTACAAAAGTTTTATTGGGAAGCTAATCGGGAACTTTATAAATTGTAGATCAAAACAATAAAAAGGACAAACCAACGTTCGTAGGTACTACCTTTTTTATTGTTCTCCAACGCCAAAGTATGTATTTTGCAGTGTCGTAACGAATGGAGTTTCTTGCTCGTTCTTCTCCATTCGAATCTACATGTTGGAATGAGCACCTAGCTTCACTGACGGACTGACTGACAGACTATTATTTATTATATATTTATTGACGTTTCAGAAGTATAGAAATTATGGTTCAATTGAAATGAATGCTTTGACTTTCTCTTCGTACACCAACATACAAATTCACTTTTAAATGACATACAGATCCCAAACAGTAGTTTGTGTATCATACAAAGTGTTATTCCGTGCGGGAATCGAACACACGTGACATGTATGTTACTCGGTATGCAGCTGTCACTTGCCCAGCCACTGAGTCAACCGCGCATTCATTTTCCTTCTGAGTTATTTTTCATTTGTGCCCAGTTAATCTTAATTACTTCAATAACGAAGCACATAAGTACATACATTTATATTTTTAACACACTATCACAAAAACATTCCGAAGGCTTATGACCTTATGATCTTTGACAAATGAATTCAGAATCGTCTGTTCAAACATAAATCCGCGGTTGAATAAAAACCGCTTTGAATGGCAAACAAATTAATGTCATTATTTGCTGTTATCTCATAGCCAGGAAACATGTTTGTGGTTTCACAGTGCCGTCTTACTAGTAGACGAGAAACTACGTACTCTATGACTATTATTGTATAATTCTAATAAAGAGCTTAAAGTCAAAAGTGATAGATATATTTATCCGATGGGTAAGACAAATACATATAATTATGTACATTGTGATATCTATTTCGTTTTCGTCTCGCGGCAAAACAACTAGCCATAAAGAATACTTTCGATGTATAAAGTAAAAACAAAAAATTAATTATGTTTTTATTTTTATTAAAAAAAATCATTGAGATACCTACTACTAGAAACACTACCATCCGACCACGTGCCACGTGCCGTTTGACAAAAATACCTCGTCGAGAACTACATGGCGTTGACTGAACTGAACTGAACTGTTTTGATAATGTACCATACTATGAGTTCGTATGCTCTTTCAAAGTTAGCTTTTTTGCAATAGTTCACCAGTTATTTTTTGTTTTAAACATTTTATTTCATTGTAAAACTATTGTATTACCGAGACAGAGCCATTTTACTTCGGGATGAAGACGAAATCGATTTCACGGTGTATAATTAATTCTTCTTAATTTAGAAATTTAAGTTCTTTGTCATATTGCAACAAAGGATTGAAGAACTATTGATTGATTGGATTTTTATGCGAAATCTGTTAGTAAATTGTGTGGTTCTAATGCAATTGTTAACATAATATTTATTCTCCTACTACACCTATACATATTTCATCGGGAGAGCCATGCTTCGGCACGAATGGGCCGGCTCGACCGGAGTAATACCACGGCCTCACAGAAAACCGACGTGAAGCGACGCTTGCGTTGTGTTTCGTCGTGTGAGCGAGGTTACCGGAGATCCAATTACCCATTCTATTCTTACTATGTTTTTCTCATTAGATCTCTTTTAATCAGAAATAAGAATGAGACCTTTTTGAGCTTTTCAGGTATCAGAATTAAAAGTACCTATTCAGTTAGATACATACAGTACAATAAGTACTTACTGAAATACAGAACATTATCTTCTACTAGCTTCTGTTAGCGGCTTCGTCTGTATTCCCATGAGATAAATACCCTATGTGTTATTCCATACTATAATCTACACCAAATTTCATCTCGAACCCTTCAGTCGTTTTGATCTAAAGGAAGGACAAACAAACAAACACACAACAACTTTCGCATTTATTTTTAGATAAATAAAATAAGAGTGTCTGACTGTCTGTTTGTAATAATAAAGTCCGTTTTTACTACATACATGCATATATACATACGATACTCATACCAACATATCATTTTTTTAATTTTTTGGTGTTTAACTAAAACGCGGGTTACTCACGTGAATATACTGAGAAAAGCTCTACTAGTTTCGAACCACAGAGGGACTCTTCCTCATTAGCAGTGTGTGCGGTCTGAGTAACACATAATCATAATCATAATCATTTATTTATTTGTAACATAGGTGGTATTACATGGATGTTCATAAGTTAAAAACAGGTTTAGTTACACTATGTAGATGGTTACTGGGTATCACACAGTTGGTCGCGAAAACTGATATCTCTAGCTACTACCTATGTATATGTACTTAATAAATATTTGCGGTTTATAAAAATAAAATAGGTGTTTGCGGATTTGGTATTATGACTAGGTGGCTAAGTAACTATGATAGGTAGGTATTATTGCATTGTAAAATCGTGACATTTCTGAAGGTTATTAAAGCGTCTTTCTTGTATTTGATGGGCCGACGTTTGGCCACTATCTCTGCAGGTTTATTGTTATTCTAACTTATTTTGATGATATAATTAAAATTTTATATATGTGGAAGTTTTTGAAGATGTTTGTTGTTACATTTTCTCCCCAGTCCGAAGAGTCTTATTAATTTAATGTAAAGCTAATAATACATAGTTTAAACAACGAGGAATGGCAACTTCTAGGTTGCAAGAACTGTAGTTCTATTTCGGCAACTTGTTGTCGCTATTTCGCCAATAACAAGACAATCAAGCAATCCAGTTCATAAAATATGAGAAAACAATCTTAAATTATTTTTTTTTATTGTTTCAGGATCTACTGGAGCGAATATTTCGGCTATTCGACGCAGACGGCAACAACAACTTAGATCAAAATGACTGGTTAGAGTTTTTGAAAGAACGCCTTAGGTATGTTTGTTTACATTTTTACCGCTACTCTAGTAAAATGTTCAGCGCCATCTAGCGGCGATTAGCTAATATAAGAATTTATTCAAACGAATTATTTTATTTGGGTTTACAGCGAAGACAAACAAATAGATTTTGTGGAACAAGTAGAAAGTGTTGCTTACGTCTTATGCGGCAACGGTGTGATTACATTGGACACGTTTCAACTCATACTTAAGAATAAAGTGGTGAGTATCATAGAGCAGCGCCATCTAGTAGCTGGTAGAGTAACTAATAATAGCATTTTGTGTTACTAGATGGCGTTGTCTCTCACATTGATAAAATATTAACGATACCCTCGAAATATAAAACTATCACAAAACATAGCCTGTATTAATAACATTTCCTAGTAAAAGTGACAAAATAAAAGTTATTGTTATTGTTTTTAGGTTACAAATAAGTTGTTCAGAGTGGTAGACACAGATGGTGACGGGTATGCAACTGCTGACGAGATCATGGAGTTCCTGTCAACAGTCACCAGTAGCAGGTATAAAGCCGTGATTTTCTACGTAAATATTGTATGTAACATTAATAAATGGACTAAACAAACAGTGTCTAATGAATGAATGAGTCCTAACATGAAGAATAGTAATTAATAATTCCATTTGTTGATTTTGTAAACACTAAGTTTACCTACATACACAAACTTTGGATGTCCATTAGATACAATTGATTGGATGATCACTTTGTTTCCAATACGTTTTTATATATGGATGGATGGATTATTTTTAGTACTTACTTAATTGATGAAGACAATCCCATTACCAACGGTCATGGAAACCAATCGATTATGATGATGATGAAATATAAAACAACATTTATATTTTGTGACTATGTAATGTTTCAGACCCCGCGTGGGCTTCGACAAGCACAGCGTAGATCGACTGGAGAAGCTGTTCCGAGCTACAGTGGGAGATGAGAAAGAGATCACCAGAGAGCAGTTCCAGAAGATAGTTGTGTCCAAAAATGTAAGCTCATCTTACATAACATAATTATTAAATTAACTAAAATGTATCTCTTCGTAGTTCAATTTCAACTACAGCGACAGTTTTTTAGATGAACTGATTCTGATGTTTTTATAATAATGATTCTGATGATGATAAATTTACGTACACACACACGATGGGTTTAAAAAAAACTCAGTAGTAGCACGGAGTCTGGAATTGTGCTCGGTATATATTTAAGGCAATAGTTACAGTGGCATTAAGCGCCGTAATGTGCAACTCTGCCTACCCTTTCAGGGATAAAAGGCGTGATGTTATGTCAGACACCATGCTATTACTAAGAATATTCGAAAAACCTAATAACACTCGAGACCCTTTGCTTGGCAGTCGCGTAAATAACTTTGTGACGACCAATAAGACAATGAAGTTATGGCAATTGAAACGCGTAATTTCTTACTTTGTTCTGTTTTCAGCCCTTTTTCACGGAGCGAGTGTTCCAAATCTTCGATGAAGATGACTCCGGTGCCATCTCCCTCCAGGAGTTTATTGCAGCCGTCCACCAGTTTGCTGGACAGACGCCCGAGGACAAGATACGATTCCTGTTCAAGGTTTATGACTTGGATGGTGAGTCACATTTCAAACATGTATCTTATTTTGTTTTATTTTGATTCAAATTATTGTTCTTGTTCTATGTAAGTATGTAAACAGAATCACTCAAGACTTACAGATAAACGCCGCTACAAAATGATATTACTGCACTGGATTATTCACTTTCAAATTAGTTAATGTTTAAACAACTGCAACAATATAAGTTAAACTTAAGTCCCGGCATTCATATTTTCCTTCTTCAGGTGATGGCCTGATCCAGCACCGTGAGCTGCAGCACGTGATGCGAGCCTGCATGGAGGAGAACGGCATGCAGTTCAGTGACGACCAGCTACTGGAGCTCACCACCGCCATGTTCGATGACGCTGACACTGAGCGCCGCGGTGCCATCACTTACGATGCCTTGAAGAAACAACTTGAGAGTCACGATGGATTGCTGGAGAATCTGTCTATCAGGTATGTGAGAGTTAGCTCATTTATTTTGTTCAGGCGTTGTATTGATGTCCACTGTGTCATTTTTATACATTGTCATTGTCATTGTAATCACAGCTATTTTTGTGCTTCGATATCGTTTCAGAAATTTACCTAAATTCACAACGAAATCACTACATAGTATAAAACTAAGTCGCTATCCGCCGTCTGTCTGTCCATATGTATGGTTAGATCTTTAAAACTATGCAACAGATTTTGATGCGGTTTTTTTAATACATAGAGTGATTCGTAAGGAAGGTTTATATGTAAAATACATGCATATTGCACCCGTGCAAAGCCGGAGCGGATCGCTAGTAAACCAATAAAATTACACACATGCACACATTGCACACACACGGTGATGCACACAGATATATTAAAATATTTCTGTGGTGATGCGCAATATGAACATGCCACATGATTATTATGTTTTATATCGTGTTAACAAATGATTTTCTTTTCTTTTTCTTAAACTATACAATCACGAAATCAATACAACATAGGTCAAGTAACATATATAAGTGTAACTCTTTGTACTATAAGTACGCATTATCCTAATATTTTAATTTCTTTTACTCATTCCATTCACTTTCAGCATAGACCGTTGGCTAGTCCCTCCGAAGCAGGACCCGCAGCCAGTCTCCTTCAAACAACGTCTGTCCAGACTGAAGCCCTACCAGCTGTCGCGGCCGTACTTCAAGAACAACTACGTATTCCTCACTTACTTGGGTCTGTTCACTCTTGTCAATGTGGGTCTCTTCGTCGCTCGCTGCGTGGAGTACCGCAAGGCAAACGGATTTGTTATATTAGCCAGAGCTTGTGGTAAGTATATTGTGATCATTATTGTCATAACTTTATGTTGTATGCTAAGTCTAAGCTTTGAATTTCGAATGGGGCCTACCGTATTTTTGCCCAACAGATGGTGCTAGTGTTGCGCTCTCGTTCTTCGTCCAATAGGTTCGTCGTTGGTTCTTCGTTCAATATTTCACAGCAGCTGTGACTGGTCAAAAGAACTTCTTCCTCTGGTGAGCTAAAATACGGTAGCCCCCATTGTGTTCGATGTTTTGCAATAGTAGGTACAACGAATCAAATACACAACTAGCGAAAAACAAGATTGTTTCCTCTGTATAGCCTTTCGGAGAATTTGAAGATATTAAGAATAGAAACATAATGTATCTATTTCCAGAATGTTGCCTTGTGTCTGTCGCCTAAAACTGTACTCTAATCTTTGACCAATTCGAACTTTAGAAAGTACATAAGTAATTCATAGAACCAACAATCAACCGAACGTTAATCATTTTCTAATTAAATGTAATTCACCTTTATACCATCGCCTCCATGTTACATTAAAATCAGGTGTTACATTGTACAGTGGCATTAAATGCCGTTATATGCACCTCTGCCTACCCTTTCGCGGATAAAAGGCGTGATGTTATAATGACTATCTGCCCCATCAATTTGCAGGTCAATGTCTAAACTTCACGTGTTCCTGGGTGCTGGTCCTAATGCTGCGACACTGCCTCACGGAGCTCCGGGTCCGTGGGTACAGCTCGTACCTGCCCCTGGACCACCACATCTACCTGCACAAGCTGACCGGCGTGCTCATTGCTGTCTACAGCCTCGTGCACACGCTGATGCATCTTTGTAACTTTAGTAAGTACAATACGGTACTTGCCAAGTACTCTAATACTTTTTTCGAACTGCAATAACACTCTTAACAGTTTTCCACGAATTTTGTACGGTGACCTCACGATTTTATAGCGTCAAACAGCATAATTATTTCGTAATAATTTGCTGAAAAATACTATACTAACATACTATACTATACTAAAAATACTAAAATATACTAAAATTAACTTGATCTTAAAATGAATTTGAAAGAGTGACCATTTTTAATATTTTCTTGTATTTAACAAATAGTAATTAAGGAAAGTACCCAATTATGGAGACGCACTATTGTCTCAAATAGGTGCCTACCATTTTCATTACTTGAAAAAAAATCTAAAAATCAGTAGATTTATTTATTAATGAACTAAAAAAAATCATTCAAAATTTTTATAATATCTTTTTAAAAATAAAATTTCAATATTGTTACAGCTATATACAATAAATAAAATCGAAAAAAAAATACGAATATAAATAGATAGTAAAAAATTATACTATAAGCAAAAAGTTGGTCTGCCGAAACCCGGGATTGAACCGGGGACCTTTAGATCTTCAGTCTAACGCTCTCCCAACTGAGCTATTTCGGCTGTGTGAGTGAATACGAAATTATCGACCAGTGTCTGTTACTGTTATCAGCACCTTATCACATACCTATACATGTATTCCCAGACAATAGACCGACTTCATATTCTATCTATTCAATGCCTTTTTACACGTTCCGGTGAATGGACCGGATAGCCGGTACCGGGTACATGGCGCCGGCGGCTCCGTGTATACAAATTACACTGGAACGTGTGAAAAGGCATTCATAGTATTCATATTTCATTTTAGTACCTATTATCATTTTCATAGTTGTCCTAAGTGCGACGAACAAGACGAGAACGGGATCTTTGGTTAAATTTATGAGTCGTGAAAAATACTATATAGGTTTATACGGCTTGTTAAAAATTCTTAATAATACTCAGAATTTGGAATTGTCTCCGGTAGATGGCAATAGGATCACTCCCTACAGTATTAAATTGCACAATCTCATCTGTGTCTACCCCGGTAATTAAAAGGAGTGACGTTAGGTAACGCTCCTTTAAAACCGCTGAAGAAATTTTAACCATTCATTGATACACATTTAATAATTAAGCCCTACTGCTTATTCACCAAAGGGTCACCAGTGACCGCTCTCCACTCACTCTATTATAGACCTTATTTCCCTTGCTTAGAGACCACTTTTGTATGAACAATGTTTCGGTGCTATATATAAACGTATTAACATTACATTACAGGTATAATAGTAGTAAACGACCCAGTCTTGAATAAAGCTAACTATACACTCTCGGAATGGCTGCTGACGGAGAAGCCGGGTCTGTTCGGTCTGGTGCCGGGCTGTGCTAACCCCACCGGTGTAGCCCTCGCCGTTATACTGTTCGTCATGTTCATCTGCAGTCAGCCTTTTATTAGACGGGGCGGGAGTTTTGAGGTGATTATGGAAATAATTAAGAATATTTTCTTTTTTATGTATGTCTTTACTATTCACGGGAGCACAGGGTCCCGGAAGGCGTAGGAGGGTCCGAAGCCAACTGTGCAGAGGCCCTTTAGACAACTTTAATTAAAGTATTAGAGCGACAAACGATAAAGATGCTTGGGAGTTGAGCTTGAGCCAAGTGCTGTACAAATTGAACATAATAAGAAACATACAAGTTCACATACACATGAAACCCACGACACTGGAGAAAATCCTATGTTTTTATTAAAAAAAAGAAAGATTTGAAAAAAAAAACAACATAACATCATGCCTCTTATTCCCGAAGGGGTAGGCAGGGGTGCACATTACGTCACTTAATGCCACTGTACAATGTAACACCCACTTTTCATTATTTATGTTATGGGTCCCATGTAATTGGGAGTGAGAAAAAATAACAAACAAAGTCAAAGTCAAATAAATGTATTTCAATTAAACGATAGTTTGGTACTTTTGAAACGTCAACAAATACAAAATAAATAATAGTATGTCAGTCAGTCCGTCATAACTCAAGTTTTGATCTGCAGATATTCTACTGGTCCCACCTGCTGTACGTGCCGTTCTGGCTGCTGCTGCTGGTGCACGCGCCCAACTTCTGGAAGTGGTTCGTGCTGCCCGGCACCGTCTACGTGGCCGAGAGGATCATGAGGCTGGCGTGGATGAGGTAATTACTGTTTTTTATGGGATAAGCCAGTCAATGAGCACACGGATCACCTGATGGTAAGCAATCGGCGCGGCGCCGCCCGTAGACAATCGAAATGCAAGAGGTGTTACAAGTACGTTACCGGCCTTTTGGGAATTGAGAATTTGAGGATTGTGGGGGATTCAGAGATTGGAGAGACTGGGAATTGGGCCTCCGGTAACCTTACTCACACGACGACCCATTCGTACCGAAGCATGGCTCTCCTTCACTTAATAATTACGAAGGCCGTAGATATTTTTGTTGAATACAAAAATATCTGTTGAGTTGAGTTGAGGTTTCAACAAACCTCACATTAGTAAAAATACAAGTTCACATACACATGGCACCTAGACCAGCAACAACAATTTGTGGATCGCTCAAAAAGTTTCTCCGTATGGGAATTGAACCCGCTACCTATTGCGCGGCAGCCGGTATCCCAGCGACCACACCAACCGTGCATTATTTTGTGAAGCACTATTGTCCCATTCTGTAAGATTTTTAATACGTAGGTTGTATTTCTATAGACTCAGAATCAACCTCGCAACATACATTGCGAAATGAACTTTCTTGGTTCCAAAAATGTATCATTGATATTTGGGGGCACTGTAGTGCATTACCAAGACGAACCAAAAGGACCACATGACATTAATTGTAGATTCTGTTTAAATATTTTGCAAATTTACTTAATACTTACATGTACAAAGTCTAAAATCATGAGAATAGCTTCAACTTGTATTTAAGATAAATATTTCCTCCTCAGATCAGAGCGTGGCAAGACCTACATATCATCAGGCATCCTGCTCCCCTCTCGCGTGACCCACCTGGTGGTGAAGCGTCCCCCACTCTTCCACTTCCACGCCGGAGACTACGTGTTTGTGAACATTCCAGCTATAGCTACTTATGAGTGGCATCCTTTCACCATCAGCAGTGCTCCTGAACAGGAAGGTACAATACAATTTGGTTCACTACCTACGATTGTTATTATTAAATACTAGCTTTTACCCGCGGCTTCGCTCACAAAAGGATAAAAAGTAGCCTATGTGACATATACCGATACACACAGCGCCATCTGTACCCAAGCGTTTGTTTTCTCTCGGAAATATTTTTTTTTCCGGGATAAAAAGTACCCTATTATTTAATTCAGACTTCTAACTTTACGTTTGCAAAAATTCAAAGCAATCGGTTTAATAGTTACGGCGTGAAAGCGGAACAAACAAACAAACTCACTTTCCAATTTATAATATTATATATAATATATAATATATATAGTAAGGATTCACACATCTTTTGTGATTGCTTTGTAGTTGTTATTATGTGGCGTCTTCCACTTTCAAGTTCATAATTATATGCATCACAGCAAAATAATGACCTAATCATAATACATCGTGATAAAAGTTATCAGAGATCAATAATATACTTGAACCAACGCCACTTCAACTATTATAATATTGAGATGTTAATTACATTAATATTTTAAAGAATTTTCTGCTTATCGTACTATTATATAACATCACACCTTTTATCTCCAAAGGGGTAGGCAGAGGTGCACATTACGGAACTTATGCCACTGTACAATGTAACACTCACTTTTCACTATTTATGTTATGAGTCGCATGTAATAGGGGGTGAGCCAAATGCCATGTACCGGGCACAATTCCAGACTCCATGCTACTACTGAGAATTTAAAAAGCCAGTAAATCTTTGCCCGACCCGGAAATCGAACCAGACACCCCTTGCCCGGCTTTCGCACTCACGGTCACTCGGCCATCGAGGCAGTCAATTATCATCATATAATTATTATTACAGAATATATCTGGCTACATATACGTGGCGTAGGTGAGTGGACCAACCGATTGTACTCCTACTTCGAAAGAGAACAAGCCAGGCTACACGGTGAAGAACTGCCGGCAATTGAAAATGGACATCAGTAAGTATACTGAATACTAGAAACCTAATAAATTAGTCATTGGCAGAACAAATATGAAGGTGTTTGCTGAACCAGAAATGTTATCCAATTTCACATCAAAATAACATTATATACTTACCTATTTGTCTTTACACAATAACAATCTGTAATCAAAGGCTTACACAATCCCTAAATCTCATTAACTTAAGTGGTGTTCTCTACAGGCAGCTAGCACGTTCAATATCCAGCCAAAGTAAGAAGAGCCGCAAGGGTTCAGTCGCTAGCACTAAGAAGAGGTCTGTGGACTTCTCCCCCAAGTGCTTCACCAATGATGCTTATGTTGCAGAGGAAGGCAATGGAGACGTCAAACAAAATGATGGTACGTTCGTTACGATTGAGAGAGAACAAACAAACATACGAGCCATGACACATGGTCTTAAAAAATTAGAACGTTGATATTGAAAATACTAGTTTTTGTAATAATGTTAATGGTTAATCAGAACTTTGCTCGTAAGACGTTCTGTTTACGACTACTTCAAATACGGCATTATAAAACATAGTATTTCGTTGAATACACTATTACTACATTTTATATTAATTACTTTTCTGTGTCCTACTTCCAGCACCATCACCAACAAAGATATCGTATCACCCCTCACTATTGCTGGCTCCGCCTCGCACTCTAGAGAAGTCTCGTTCCATGCCTGACGTACAGAAGAATTTGAAGAAACGACAGCGCTTAATAGCGTAAGTATCATGAAGTTAATCGAACTTGGCGGTGCACTTCCGAGCTCCCAGAAATTAATCTCCAGAAAATAATGGTGGGTTGTTGTAAAGAAATTGACTTTTACTAATATTTGGATCTTACTAACGTTATTGTGAGTTTATGTATATGTTTGTTACTCAACGTCAAAACGGTTGAAGGGGTCAGGATGCAATTTGGAACGGGGTTTTGTAGAATGGATGGATTTATAAAGGTACAAACATATTTAATGTTCCTTTCTTCCATCTTCCCAGTCTACGCGACTTCATGCGTTCAGAGTCGGAAAGCAAGTTGGACGAGGGCTCCATGCTGAGCGCTCGCAGGACCTTCGGGCTGGCCAGCAAGATACCACAGAACAAATCCTTAGTACACAGCTTCAGGTACATGAGGACCAAGCCTACGATCATTGCCTTCAAGACTCCTAGCTTTGAGGAGAGGAGGCGGAGTAATGATAGCATTTTGACTCTTGGTGAGTTTGAGTATATTATATTGTCTTATTTTATTGATGTAGATTTCTAATATCTGTACTTTATGTGGTCACGATGCTATGTTTAATAAATCTGAAACTACTTATTTCGAAAGAATATTTGTTCTTTAAACCAATTTTGTATCTTTATTTTTCAATTTATTAAAAACTAGCGACCTGCCCCTGCTTTGCATGGGTACAATATGCACGTATTATACATATAAACATTCCTTAAAAATCACTCTATCTATTAAAAGAAACCGAATCAGAATCCGTTGCGTAGTTTTAAAGATCTAAGCATACATAGGGACAGACGGACGGCGGATAGCGACTTTCTTTACATTTTGTTTGTTTCCTTGTTTACAGCTCGTCGTCGTCTATCAAAGAGTTTGTCTCCAGACAGAGACGTTGAATGTCAGCCAGAGAAGATCGTGGAGTGTGAGAATGATGGTTCAGAGGCTACTGATGATTTCGAAGCCAACTATCCCATTGGAAAGCCTCTGGAGGTAAATCATTTGAATTAGTTATAAATACCTTTTACTAGCATTTACTCGCGGCTTTACCTGCGTTTTCCTGAGCAATCCCATAACAGCATTTAATCAGGATAAAAGGTATTCTATCACGTAAATTAGCCTATACCCTGTCTGTATACCAATCCGTTCAGTAGTTTCAGTGTGATTGACTGACAAATATCCAAACAAATAAACTTTCACATTTATAATATTTGTGTAATGTGATATTCATATCCAATAAAAGGTATACGTAGCATTTTAATAGAATTCACTAACACTGTATACGACATTTCATATTTCACATCTGTTTTAATGGCAACTTTTGTTGCTATGAGAAACAACGTATGTACCCTACAATAAATGAAGTAATACTGTTTACTTCTCATCAGATCTACCTCGACGGTCCATACGGCGCAGCCTCCTCACATATCTTCCTGGCCCAGCACGCAGCTCTCGTCGCGGCCGGCATTGGGGTCACTCCCTTCGCGTCCATACTGCAAGCTGTGATGTACCGCTACTGGAGTGCCAGGCAGGACTGTCCTAAGTGTGGGCATACGTGGGCGTCTGATATGCCCCGACATAATATGAATTTGAAGAAGGTGAGTGATGTTTCAGAATCAATGTTGATGAAATGATGATTGTATTACCTTAACTGAAACTTATTGATAAAAATTGTTGTCAATTCATCTGGGAGAGTGATGAATGATGTAACTGGGACTTCTAGAAATAAAATTGAAGTTGAGCTTTAAATATTAATCTTGACGGCGATGATTCCATCACGAATATACTATAATATATTAGGTAGTTTACTTCATCACTAAATATTCATATTTGACATTACAATATTCAACTAGACGTAATTGTCATATTTTTGATACATGTGCAAAGACTATCCATGATTTAAAACTATAACAATAAGCTTATGTTATGTTTCGTCGTGTCAATTATTCCCCCCCCCCCCTCCTTTCCCAATCCCTGAATACCCAACAATCTTCAAATTCCTAATCCCAAAACGCACTTGTAACGCCTCTGGTGTTCCAAGTGTCCATGGGCGCCGATAGTTTACCGGCTTATCCCATAAAAAAAAAACTAAAATAATATGTGCTTAAACAATGACCTCCTTCTTTGTGATATAGTTCCATTTTACTAAATTTTATCATGCCCAGGTGGATTTCTTCTGGATAAACCGTGAGCAGCGTTCATTCGAGTGGTTCGTATCGCTGCTGTCTCAATTGGAGATAGAACAGGCAGAGCTGGGTGGAGCTATGGAACGGTTCCTGGAGATGCACATGTATATCACCAGCGCGTTACAGAAGTCAGATATGAAGGCCGTTGGACTGCAGTTAGCTTTGGATCTTTTGCATGAGAAGGTACATTTGAGATTGATTTGATTTGACATTCATTTACATGGGGCAACCGAGGAGACGAATTTTCGATGATCACGTCTTGATGGTAAGCAATCAACGCCACTAGTGGACAAGGAGTTCCAAGTGTTGTTGGCCTTTTTTGCTTTGGCCTTTGTAGATCGTGGACAAGGACGTTAAAAAGACATGGACATAATGTGATGTAGAAATGATTGAAGCACAAAAATGTCAGTAGTTTTTTATGTGTGCGTGTTATGAGTTACCACGTTACCAAATTCAAATTCAATTCAAATTCAAATTGTTTATTATCTTAAGAATTACAATATCTGTCTAACATCCAGTAAGTTATTATACAATACTTGTGTTGGGACTGACTTAATCTAGATTACCAGACTTCAGAAAATGACAGATATACTTCTTGTCAATGTGTTTCCACTCTGAATGTATCTCTATAGTAGCCAGGTGTTACAGTTGTTGTTTGATGAGACTGTGTCTGACTTTTTTAATTTTATTATAAACTAGCTGAGCCCGCGATTTTATCCGCGTGGAATAGTGATTCATAGTTCCTCCCCCGTTGTTGAAAACATGATTATATTATTATGTAGCCTATATGATGACCCGACCTGTTAATAATATTCATGCAGAATTTGAAGTAAATCCATGCGGCACTTTTTGAGATCATCCCTGACATAGGTACATACAGACAAACAGATATTAATTCTAAAAAACATATATTTGGTTTCGGTATCGATTGTAGATCTCGCACTAAGCATTATTTTAAAAAATATATTTAAAGTACAGTTTGACTTTCCTACGACTTTATTAAATGTATAGAAGAACACGAAGGTTTTATAGTTGCAACATTAACACGTTGAATGCCATGGGGGTCACCGGTGACCGGCGTTAGCGGAGGCTTTGCCTTCAAAACTTTTTTATTGGCAGTCAAAGTCTTAAAATTATACTTTTTTGCAGGAAAAACGTGACCTTATAACAGGTTTGAAGACCAGAACGAACGCGGGTCGTCCGAACTGGGATAAAGTATTCAAACAACTGCAGGAACAGAATAAAGGGAAGGTCACAGTCTTCTACTGCGGACCTCCACAGCTCGCCAAGATACTCAGGGTCAAATGTGACCAGTTTGGATTTGGATTCAGAAAAGAGGTGTTTTAGTATAATAAAAGTTGTTAAAAATCTTATTTTATATGCAATATGCAGACGACAGCATGTAAAGTTATAATTTTGCCGAAAATAGGTTTTTAATCTTATTTCTTATGTATTTAAATCAATATTCTATTGAAGCTTGTAGTTGCTTTATGTGCTGCCATGAACTGTAGACTGCAGCGTGTAAAGTTATACTTTGTTCGACATTTTTTTTTAATTTGATTCTTAAGGAATAATGTTAAAAGTCTATCGAAGCTTATGGTAGCTTCACGTCTGGCGTGTGTATGCTCGTATTAATATTTGAAATTAAGATTGTTACCAGAAAATACCATGTGATAGAAATGTGATCAAATACCTATGTGTTCTGGTTTCTTTAATAGAAGTAATTTTATTTTTAAAGGTTACGCCATTTTTTATTTGTAAAGTATATCTTTGTGGTTAAGTAAATTTTTTATGTTAAAATTATATGTTTGGTAAATTTTATTCATTGTAAATTTAGATAGGTATAGGTGTAGCATAATGATTAATTTATTTAATAAAATCCATGACATTTATAAGAATAATGACAGTTTACATTGTAATTAATTCAGACGTTTTATAGCACTTGGACAAATATTTTATGTAGCAAAATGTTTGACATAAATTATATTCTTTGTGTTTGCAGTAAGTAATGTTGAGTTCTGAAGTATATTCTATAGTCTGTGTAATAGAGTACTATAATATTGTTGAGAGTTTGTCATGATGACTACTGTTTAAACAAAATTGACACAAAACTTTTGTCACTGTACGAAAATAACACAAATCGCAGCAATCAACAAAGAAATTAATTACCATAACTTTTGACTTATTTTTATTCGATACTTTCATAATAATTTTATTTCAGAAGAAATCTGTGCCTAAATTTTATTGAAACGTCAACTTTTATTCATGTCGACATTCTTATTTAATAAAATTATTATGTCACGCGCGACTTGGCAGTACACTACCGTGCCCCCAATATTTAAAAAACTACTAAAAATAGGTTTAGTAATGTTGTTAAGTGATACTTAAGTAATTAAAGACAAATTTTTATCTGTAAGTAGATCTTGTCTGTATGTGTATGAGTTACGAATTTGTTAGTCATCGTCATTATTTTGAACCCTATTGTAATTACTTCGATACTTTCTTAGTTAGATAATTTAGATAAAATTATATTTTTTGATCTTTATAAAAATGTCAGACCTTTTATTTTTTGCCATCACCATCAAGACATCACTATATTTCCAACTGCTTCTGGACATTATCACATTCGACATTGTGGTAGTCAACCACATTCACTCAATACTCCAAACTTGAATTTTTACCATTTATATTTAGTTACCTTTGTTGGACCTACGACAAAATTTGTCGATATCATTAGTTCATCCAATGTCCAATGTAGAATTTTTTTTTTTAATGTTTGATTCGGGCCTGTTTCACAATAAAGTATCTGATTCAATTGCTATTATTTTTTAACTCACCACTTTTTAATTCACTTTAACACGAGAAACACGACCTGTAGTCTTGTTTCATGACAAACATAAATTAGGAAGTTTAGTAATTAATATTAATTTTTCGTTCAGCGCCATCTACTGTGACTACGGTAAAACAATCATGAAGTTTAAACATTGTAAGCTGGTATAGTCTGTAGAAGCTCTTCTTTCAGTTTCATAATTCAATTGTAAACAGAAGTTTTTTTATTTTAATAATAACCATTTGAACTGTAAACTTTGTTAACACCTATATATTATGTACCCATGTTTTCAAATGATTAAATGAATATGAATATGAACTCGGAACATCAATTTGTACACATAAATAAATTCTGTGTCTAAATCGACCCGCTACATTGCGTAGCGACCGGTAACCTAGCAACTACATCAACATCTACCCACGAATATCAACAACTTACTTTAACACCTATCTATTTATAATTACAGCACACATTGAATTAACGACTATAAAACTTACACATATACAGTCACAAATCATTTCCTACTACACGCGTCATTACATCGTCATCGTCATCATCATCATTATCAACATACTCGCATTTTACGCTAAATATATCGCGGAAACGTCACGCGGCCTTACTCCAAGGTTGCTGGAACAAGTTCAGTGTCATTATCCTGCCAAGGGCGACCTTCTAGTGACCTCGTCGCGAGGTAACGCGACCTCGCCGCGAGGACACGGCCTTAATAAAGGTCACGCTTGAAATTTTGCTGAAAATTCATTTTTGTTATATTTTGTTTACATTGTTTTGTTGGATTATTGGTGTTTTTGGGTGATTTTTTGTGTGCGAAAATAAATTAGTGACCTTGATATCAAGGTTTTTTGACGTCATTCAAGCCTTCAAGGTTAAATTTTTGGGGTAAAATTCAGTGGTTATCTTTTAAATTTATTATCTAGTGTTATCTATATCGACTAGTTTATACAATACATTACAGTTTATCTAAATATCTATTTAGGATTGTATGATAAAAAAAATTGCAAAAATATTTGATGACAGTGACATCTATTATAAAACGTTATACTCTTTCAAGAAGCTGCATCGCTTAAAACTTTCAAGTTCTTGTATTACCTACTAGGTGGCGCTGTTACCAAATTACAATTAGCAAATATTTTTCACTCAACATCAGTTTCTAATACTCTTATTGATATGAGAAACATGACGGAGATCACATAGCAGTAAAGATATTGATAATTTCAAGATAAGAATTATAACTTCATCGATAGTATAACAACAAAAGCTAGGTTTTGTGTTCCAAGTAGGTAATCTTGAACTGTAAAAGAAAATTATTCAAGTGCTATCAGATCAAGCTACTCAACCTTACGCAAGTGCTATCAGATCAAGCTACTCAACCTTACGCCATCTGGTTGTTATAATAAAGCTGAGAATTAATTGAAGTCCGACTGCCATAGAAACAAACATTTGACAGGCGTATTTTATTACAAACTGCTACGGGCCGAGCATTCCTGCCTTATTGCCCGGGCTATAGTATTAAGCTAAGCTCCGCCCTTTCGCACTACAATGCACCATGGGCCTCTAGTGTGTACCTGTAGTCTTGTCTATGTGTGTGTCCTAGTGTAATAAATGGTTTATCATTCTTTCTTTCTCACAGAGTCCGGGTGCTCCGGATAGCAGCGCTCTCAATCGATCTCAATCATTTAATCTGCAAACTGGTTACAGTTCCCGCTTTAGAAGGTTTTTTTTCAAGGGGGAAAATATTCGAATGATTTCTCCCGCCTGGGTGAGGCGAGAGGGAGTGTCAGACTCTTACTGACTAAAAAGCATCCCGTTCCTACTCTTGCACATCGAGCCGGAGCCCTGGCAACCCGTTAGGTTCGTATCGGCATCAGCCCCATTGAGCCCCATCCGTGGTGGTCTGATGGCTCTTTGAGGCGCGCGTGGAACGCAACGCGCCGTAGTACCGTACGCTCAGGTCTGGATCGTACTTTAGAAAGATGAGATTACACTTGTCGTAGAAATTATGTCAGTTATCAAATCCTCTTATGCATAATGGTTGTAGGTAGTTATTTAGAGTTAGGAACTATAGGAAATATTGCCCTTTAACATATAAATAAAAATCTTAGTCTAAGTCATGAAATTTAAACAAATGTTACTAGGTAAACACATACCTAGGTACAGTCATATTCCAAGAAACATTCGATCAAAGTGTTTAGTCAGCATTTCTGTGAGAACAACAGGCTAATTATGTAGGCACAAACACAGGAAAACATTCGTTTATAGGTATTTGTTAATGTTTGAATTGTTTTATTAGGATTCAGTAATTGTTTATTGTTACACTAGCTGACCCGGCAAACTTCGTACCGCCTAAAAGTTTTTTCTCACCTTTTAAACCTTCCCTAGACTTCCACGAAGTCGCGGAGAACCTAACGGGTAACCGGGGCTCCGGCTCGACGTGCAGGAGAAGGAACGGGGTGGTTTTTAGTCAGTAAGAGTCTGACACTCCCTCCCGCCTCACCCAGGCGGGAGCAGTCATTCGATGATTTTCCCCCCTTAAAAAAAAAAAAAAAAACGTCTCTTCCACGAACATTTCAAGACCAAAATTACCCAAATCAGTTCAGCCATTCTCGAGTTTTAGCGAGACTAACGAACAGAAATTCATTTTTATTTATATAGATAGATTACAATTCTAAAGTTCTCCTCGACTTTTTGTAAGCGTGGCCTCCACGCCTGGCTTTTCTTCTGTTCCTTCCCGTGGCAGCCGTAAAACAATAATTAATTTGGTATGTCTTACGAAAGTTATTACAGTTTTAGTTTTAGACAAAAAGTCTTTAATTTTTTTATGGGATGAACCGGTAAACGAGTAGGCAGATCGCCTGATGGTAAGCAATCGGCGTCGCCCATGGACACCATGCGTTACCGGCCTTTTGGGATTAGGGATTTGAGGATTACTGAGGATTCAAGGATTGGAAAAGGGGCGAGGGGTAATTGGGCCTCCGGTAACCTCACTCACATGACAACGAAACACAACACAAACGTTGTCTCACGTCGGTCTTCTGTGAGGCCGTGGTATTAATCCGGTCGAGCCACCCATTCGTGCCGAAGTATAGGAGAGCTATGGCTCTCCCACACTTAAATTAATTTCTAACAAACCTTTGAATTATTTTACTATCTATATTTATTTTAATACTGTCCTTTGTATTGGTACAGTAATCGTATTTCCTATTAGATAAACTAATACCTGCACAAATGTCACTTTGGAAACAAAAATGGTTCAATAGATTATATTATCTATACATTTAAACATAAACATGTAATTGGAGTGTATGTTTGTAATATTGAAATAACCGCGTTTTATTACATGCATAATCATCCATATATGTACATACGATGCACATACCAAAATGACATTTTGTAATATTTTTGCCTGTCTGTCTGTTTGTACTGACTAATCTCTGGAATGGCTGGACCGATTTCGCAAGACTTTTATTGGCAGGTAGCTGATGTACTAAGGAGTAACATAGAATACTTTCATTTTGGAAATATCAATCAAAAAAATAATAATATCCTAAAACTCATATTCTGCGTGGACAAGGTCGCAGGCAACAGTTAGTAATGTCTATGTATCTTGCAATTTGGTACTTTAGAACTACTTTAATAATCGTATGACATACAGGCGCTGCGGCCTGACTCGGCAACATGATTCATATTTTCCGACACGCATTGAATATTTCAAATGATTGTGTTTTCTTTGGTTCTGCTCGTTGGCCGAGTGGTCGCAAGTGCTACTGGCAAGCGGGCTCGGGTTCGGGCAAAGCCGCAAAGTAGATACTAATGGGTTTTTAAAAAATTCTCAGTAGTAGCACAGAGTCTGGAATTGTGCCAGGTATATGGCAAAAGACTCATCCCC